AAACCACAGCTCCTAGGCTCCCGCTCTTACGTTGAGTGGCGTCACCATCATTGTCGTTGTTGTGGATGACGCACATGAAAAATTTACAGGTATAGATGGACAAATAAGATGAGAAAAAATACTCGTGTTCACCCAGCCCTCTGCTTGGAAGTCGAGTATTCCACCATGAAGCCTCGAAACGTCTTTTTCTTTCTTTGTTTCCTTAATATGATTCTTTTCTATTGCACCCATGGGTGCGATGACCACTCAGCAAGGCAGATGCTCAAAAGTGATTCGTGAAAATACCCCATTCATGCGTATTTTCTGGCAAGCGATCATGCTAACCTATCTCATATAGCGTGGCAAAAGAGGTTAATAGCAAGAAGCCATCGCATAATGTCAAGTGAGCAACTAGTGCGCGATTTAACCCTTATGCCCAACCACTTGAAAGTGCTCATTCGTACTTCTTCATTGTCTGCAGCAACATGCAGCATCAAGAGAACGCACGTAATACTGTACAGATGTGTGGTGGGCACCTCGCCTATCCACAAAAAGGTGAATATTGGTACAGTGAGTGATGTCCTACGTCACTAAAATTATGATTTGTGGCGTAGTCAGTACCTTGTGGAGAGCCAAAATATGAACACAGTTGGCCTTGCCCCAACACGAAGCTTCACTCAGAATTTGAGTTAGGCTGCATCGCAATCGTCGGCTGATCATTTTTTTCTGATGCGAAGTGCTACAAGTGACCTTCGGCGTCTTTGTCAACACATTTGATACGAACAATCATCACGCAATGCCTTCACCCTGCAATGTCACCGGTTGGCGAATTTTCCGCTCTAGTCTTGACGTCATCAAATGACGTAGTGGGTTGGTCTAAGACGGGTCGATCCCAGAGGCCCTGCAGAACCATCTGAGGCGCAGAAAACGTTCAATGCGTACGATCTCTGAGGCAGTGTGCAAGCACGCTGTATGCGGAAAGCTTTCAATGCATCTAAAACAGTTCTTACTAACAACATGCGACACCTGAACATATATATATATATATATATATATATATATATATATATATATATATATATATATATATATATATATATGTGTGTGTGTGTGTGTGTGTGTGCGTGTGTGTGTGTGTGTGTGTTTAAATATGGTTGTATGCATTTATGTGTATGTGTATAGATTCTGAAGTGACACTGTATTAGTTAGTCATATTTATGTGTTATGTTATAGTCATTTATTCCAATTAGTTATCTCCTGTTTTATCACTTACATGTAAATATTTTGAGCTACCATGAGTTTCAATAATAATTTTTATTACGTTCATTTTATTTCATTCGCTTGCTGTTTTTTCCTTAGTTGCGAATTTTGTTTCTATATTTTTATATATGAATTCACAGGAGGTCCCCCTGACAGTTTTTACTTTGGGACCTCCTTCTGTATTCTATCAACTTTTTACTTGCACTGTATTGTACTGAATAAAGAGCTTTATCTAATGAATGCCTGCCATTTCTGAGGCAGTGCACGAACACGTTGCATGCAGAAAGCTTCAAATGGCTATGATCTCGGAGGCAGTGCGCGAGTACTTTCGATGCAGAAAGCTTTCAATGTCGTCAATCTCTGTGCAAACATGTTGAATACGTAAAGTTTGCGGGAGGAGAGAATCAATGGTATGGGTTGAGAAGAAAATGAAGTTGACGGTCGTCTTCGAGTTGTCTTGAGAAAATGATGAGAGGCTGCGTTTTATAGAAAACGTGGGGAGGAGTAACCAATATGTTTAGCATCTTCAGTTGTCTTTGTTCATTGTTTTCTTTTTTCCGAGCAATGCGAAATCAATATCATGCGTTAACAACGTTAGCTTCTCAAGTCTTTGAAAGTTCCTTGCAACCATTCGTGCATAACTTAGTCAGCGTAAAAGAGCCATAAGGAGCCACCTCAATTTCCCGGTGCAATCCTGTTGATCCTCCAGCACTTACTCAAAGCACTTAGTTCTACTCATGCCGTTCTGTTGTTCATGGCGTTAGACGCCTGCCGTGCAAATTTGCCTTGCACTTAGTGCGTCATTGCACTTTACACGATGAATAAACAATCCTGCTGAAAGCATGCGTCAAGGGCTCTTGAGACGCGAATACTTGCATGCGAAATAGGGAGACAGCCGTAATCACATTTCAGTTTATGCAGGCCCCAGCTAGGAGGTGTTGTGCCAAGCTTGGCGTGCAGGCGGCGCGTGGAGTGTTTTGAAAACAATTCTGGAGAAGCACACCACGTTAAGAAGTATAGTCCTGGCACTATGCAGATGTAAGATGGGTGATTATTTTATCAAGATTAAACAAGAGCGTGAAACTTGGTAACGCACTTACTGAGCAGCCTAGGAAGATGCAGGCAGATAGCTTCCGAAAAGCACGATGCAAAAAAAAAATCACAGTCAGCGAGATCTCATACTCTCAACATAATTTGTGGTAGAGATGATAACTTTAAAATACGTAATAAGGCAACGTGCACCCTCTCACATTACACAAATTGCATTGCCCAAACTGTGGCCTGAAAAGCATCTTCAGCAAAAGGTTGGAGCCTTCTCAAGGCTGTGCACCAGAAACCACACTAAATTAGCACCTGTGATGGAGAGTAATGCATATCAATATACAATTAAAATGATGCGTATGTTTGTCTACCGCTCGTAGAATGTGGAAAGCCATGCATTTGAGTGAATACTGTGTTGGAAGCTCGGCTTCTGAACGCGAACTCTGTTAATTCATGCTGTTTTTTTTTTGTAAGTTTACCGCATGTTTTTTTTCTTTACTTGTTCACTTTTTTGCAGCATCTTTTAGGTACTGCGGTACTTATAGCAATGCAACAGCCAAGTGAATGAAAATCTCATCTTTTCTACAGCAAGTCAGTTAGACCAGAATAAAAAGAGACGCCTGATCTGATTGCATTTTGACCACGAGTGTTAAAAGAAGAATAGCGCATGCTTCGTCTATTATAATACAGTGTATACCTGGCATCCAGTTGAAGTTTTATTAAATGGCATATATTGTGCAAGTGCGTTAACATTTGCTTCTACATAAGACGCAATTGTTTTTACATATTTACAACATGGTAGGCTCCAACAGTGAGTTATAATTTGCACAATCGATGCTGGAAAAATTCTGCGTCATTAGATACGCACTGTTAGTATGCTCTTTGACCCTCGCGTTCCTAAATACCTACAGCAATGAACCTACTTGACGTAAGCACTTTCCACATTGCCGAACCATCACCTTTGACCGTGCGCAAAATGGCAGGAAAAAAAACACTGGAATGGCTAATTTATTTAACATGAAAGCCAGGCCGAGAGTCTCGCTAAACTTATTAAAGATACAAGACTACAGTTACGGTTGGCGGTAATTGTGTTTAGTCCGCAGTGGCAATTACCTCGAGCGTCGTGTTTTCACTGCGTGTTCTCGAGACTCATGTCTGAACCTACACCGCATTTTTTTTACTTTTCCCCCTAACGCTGAAACATCGTTACGGTTTCATAAAAGTGATTTTAATAGGCCGGCAGCGTGTTCCTTGTCGTTTTCGTTAACTAAGTAATTAGCAGACAATTACTCATTTGCCTTGGCATTACACCGCGCACCAGTCTCTCCCGAATGAAAACGCTCTGACTGGCCTCGCTTTTTGTGAAAAGTACAGGTAGGCAGCACGAGAGCTATGTGTTTTCGCACTCATCAATGATTTCACTTCATCGGGACGTTCATCGTTTAACCAATTTCAGTGCAATTAGGTGGAGGTTATATTGAGGTTAGAACGATGGTGGTACTGAATACTGTTATTCGACTATTTTGCGAATCTTCCCTAAATATATTGTGCTCCCTCATTGTGATCATTCTAATTTCACTTGGTAGTGCTTTTTGTTAGGGCAAGTTGGTGAGATAGCTGCGAATGAAAGCATAAATTGTCCTGTTATACTGTGCATTATGTGCCGTCTTTCGTGCCCATTTATTTCGCAAATTATCTTTCTAATCATCCGCAGTCCCTTTTTATTTTTGAATTAGGCACATTTTATATACCTTCTAGCTTGTTTTTTAATATAGGGGTGGAGTATTTACGGCAAGTTTTTGTCTAATTTGTGAGTTAACGTCATTCGGGCTTTGCTAAAATGGAAGAGAAACAATACTTTTTATCTCAAAGTACCCTGAAAGTTTGTTGCACGCAAGGAACTTTACAGCAGTACTCATAATTACGCCCTTAATCATAAAATGCGTTCAAAAGCCTAAAATACATGCTCGCACGAAGCACTAAATCACTTTGTATGTACAAAAACCAAAACATCGCTACATTTGCCGTGCGTATCCTGAAAAAGTCAAGCAAGTCATAAGTAAGAAAACAACAAGTAACGGGACAGGTGTAGAAATGATCGTGGACATTCTCGTGTTCCCGCCAACGCAGTTTCTTTGAAGGACAGCGATTGATTCAGTGCTTATGAATATTTATCCGCGTTTATCATGCATCTACTGGACTCGGCAACTGATTCGACTTGTCGATTGCCAGCATTAGAGTAAATCCCGAGTGGGTCAGTGTAGTCTAGAGCACAATTGTGTTTAGACTATGGGCCACACCTTGCAAGTGCCTTCCACGCCTTTATATTTTCAAATGCCGTCTAATTTCATTGCTTCACAGTTGACCATAGTGCATTCGACTTTGTAATGTCTGTTTATTTTGTATTGTTTACATTCGCTGAGTACCCGTTGGCTCGTCATTCGAATAACAACTGCCTTTCAATCGGTTCAGAGCAGAATCAATAGAATGAAGCATGTACGCGAGCTCGGATTCACGCTCCTTTTTTCTGTTTTATTGTTTCCACGTCCAATCATAGCTATCATTCCTAATTAAAATTTATTGAGAACAAAAAACCCGTATTTATCAAACAGAAAATGCTCCTCGTGGCAAGATTTGTGTTCCTTTGTAATTGTTTTATGAATTAACGCCCCTGATCACCTGAAAAGATAAAAGTGAATATTTTATTTTGGTTGGCGCAGAACTCGCGGACATGTCACTTCTTCTCCTGCTGCTGGCGGCTATATTTGTGTTCGCCGTCGTGCTCGTGGTGACATACCTGACGTACCGACGGCTGTACGACAACCTCCAGTTCAAGCCGAAAGTGCTCAACGACAGTCCCGTTCACGTCAAGATTGCCCCAAGGTAATGATGAATGCAACAGATCATTTTTTCCCACTACTTTGTATCATTTTGGTAGACACGCTGAAAGAATGTTTTCGATTCATAACATCACAAAAGTGTCGTTACGAATATTTTAAAGCTCAAAGCTTGAAGGTTTTATATTTTTTATAAAGAAAGTAAGGTTATTCATACGCCGCGCGGCGTCCTTACGTGGACACGAGGCTTACGTTTTCAATTCATCAATTTTCAATTATCAATTTTTCAATTTATCGATTTCAATTTTTCAATTTAAGAAGGCGCTGAAAAGACTGAGCTAATGGTAAATAAACATTCTTGTAGCCTGAGGATCCTCTATATCAATGCTCGTCGGACAATTTCGCTGCATACATACCTTTGGCCAGATGTTAGAAGTGGGGCGTTTTGGCAGGGGGTTCGAAAATCTTGTTTGTTTTTTCAACAGTTTCATAAGGCTCGCATCAAACAGGTAACAATCGCATATTATTTCTGTGTCGTTCAATTCGGGTTATTAAGGAATATGCCCCCACAGAAAATACAGAACTTAGGCAATGATTTACGTGTGAATACAGATCTTGCTGTGAAACACATTGTATTTTACTCAAGCACGTCCAATAGCTTTCAATCCTAATTCATCACTTACGTTAATTTTGTTTATTTGTAATTGATCGAAATGGGCGTTTTAAAAAGTCTTTGAGGTGAGTATGCAGTCATGTTAACTGTGCTACTTATGTCAAATAAAACTCAATTTAAAGCAGTCATGATTCAAAGCAAGTAAAGATGTTTCGTTATGAAGGCTGCACAAGAGGGCTTCACGGTGTTTTAGACCGTAGGCTGACAATAATGTAAAAACAGCAGGTATATACTTAAACTACCGAGCATCGATTAGATTCATAAAGACAGACAGCGAATCGAAATTACACACGTGACACCTCGACTCTAAACAATGGATGATAATAATGTTCAATGTTATTTTTTACTGTATTTTTAAGACGCGAGAATTTTCAGCAATTATAAACAATTACATGTGCAATGTAGGTCAATAGGGTAAAGTTAATGGCAGGAACAATTCACCGAAAGTGTATGTAAGAACAGTAAAGACACGTGAAACCTAAATATATGTTACTTAATAGTTACTGTAACTGGAGTAAATGTATGGTGACTCGATATAGCGGCTGGTTTTTGCAGAAATAGTCGAGCAGTAGTGCTTTATCTTACCGTAGAAGGATCTAACAATAAAATCTTAAGAAAGTAGTCCCCGTTGAGTGCTTGAAAAATTTACCGTGCAGAGATCGGATGAGGTAAATGCACTGACTTTGCGCAGAGATCATCAATGCTACACTGACATCAGTTTAGTTTGTGTTGAGCGCCTCTAAACTAAAGTGAAGACGCCATTATTGTATGCTCTGTTCGAACGGGCAAACACGATGAAACAATTATCAATGATCTTGAACTTAGAAGCGCTGGCGTCGCATAGTATACGAATTATTTTAACACTTTTATGGTCATACAAATGGTCTCATTATCCAATTTTTCACATCTTCACGCTTCTGGTGTGGTTTCAAGTTACTGATAGGAACAGCTGAAAGCTTTTGGCTTGCCGAACTATCATGGATGTGAAAAAAGTGATAGCTAGAGCGCACGACACAGAAAGTGAAATTAAATATTTTTGGCGAAAGCTACCTAATTCTATTGTCAAATAATTCGGCGTACATAAGGTGGATTGCCTGTCTCAAGGCATTAACGAAAAACGTAAGCAAATATAAAACTCGAAAGTGGACAGCAGAAGGGCTTAGGAGAACGGAAGGGGAAACGGGAAGATAACGTCACATCAGAAGTTGGCATACCTGCCAGTCTCTTGTGTTAGCAGCCGAAATAAGGTTGTACACTGCGCATTGAAAGGCAATCTATAATGAAGTTCTCAAACCGTCATTTTCATAGGCGTGCCTATATTCGTCAAAAGCGCCTTGAAATCCTTGGTGTGCTATTTTTAAGGGAGCTGCAGTATAGTAAGTGAAACGCATTAAGAAGCATAAATCAAGATTTTTGCTAATAAAGATTATTATAAGCTTTGCGCAGAGGCGGTGTCGTACCCAATGAAGTGTAAACTGAGGGGCGACTATTGCTAGTTGAATAAAGACCATTATTCACTTGTATTTCCTAGTAAATAGCAACAGTTGTCTTGACACTTGCAGATACCATTAAGGGTACAGTGCTTCAACCAATTAGTGTAAGATGCATCCAGAATAACTTAGCATGCTGTCTTCAGCAAAGCAGTCTGTCAAGAAGAACTTGCTGTTGAACAAGCTGGCGCATCTTTATTCTAAATAATTAACTCAGTATCTAAAAACATGATCATTCAAAGGCACCAGTTTCAGTGCGCTTATTATTGCATGGCCAGGTTATTGGCTATGAGGTTCACTATTTATACTGCAGTCCACCAATACTACGCTAACACGGGCTCTTGTTTTATTGGTGTGTGTGCGTATGTGCGTGTTTTCAGGTCTCCCAGTTCTGGCAACGTACCGTCGATAACAATCAGCCACAGCCTTCCCGAGATGACGGAAGTTGTCACCGACTGGGACTCAGGATGCCGTCGCCAAGAAGGTGGCCCCCTTGCGGCAGATTACCCTTCCGGCAGTGCCTACCCGTCATCTGACCTTTCAGAGGCAACTGTCGCACCGTCTTGACCTATCCACAACGGTGCCCTTTGAAGGTAATTAGGCGTGGGCAAAAACGCTGGGTTTGACAACACTACACAGTCAGGAGGCGTGCACGCATGTACACAACACTGAGTTGGCGAACGACCTTGTCCGTCAATCAGTGAAGTTTTCTTACGTTTTTTTTTTTCTGCATGAGTTTTTCAGGGGCGAAGCTCCTTTTGGTCTAGGACAATCCGTCCCTCCGGCGTAGTCAGAACAGCATATCTACAGACAGACAGACGGACGGACGCTGCGCCTCACTATCATCTCTCACTCCATAGATATGCTGTAATTGTTTTTATTTGATGCGTCTTGCACGACATATAAAGTTTTGTCCAAGACAAATGAAACCAGCAATACGATAATATTGCTACGGTATGAGCCGGTATTGCTACGTTGTCTGGTATGGCCTGAGGACTCCATCTTTACCGCGACTGCCGAACTTCATCCTCACCCTGTGAATAAATCCACCTATCGCTTAATTCAACCGTAACAATATTTTTGTTGTATTTGTCATTGGCCTCATCATGGCCGCGATAAGGTTGACATCGTTTAGATATTTTGTATGAGAGCTATCGGTTAAGTTAAAAATGTTTTGTGGTTTAGCGCACCCTTTTTGTGTGAGTAAATTAGTCAGATATGAGTATTTTGAAATTATCCCGCCGTTATTGAGCGAAGGGGAGAGAAAAGGTGACAAAGAAGCTCAATTTATTCTAAACACAAATAGAAAAAAAGAAACACCACCTCGACTCTTTGTTTGTAAGCCCGTAGTTTCGCATCGAAGCTGAAGTTACGAACGCGAATGCCCTCGTATCGCGAAAACAAATTGTATGAGCCGCATGTTCGACACTTATAGTGAGATGAAACACTGGGATATTTGCTGCGCCTTCACTGTGGCTACAGTGCGGCCGTCGAAGGCCAACGGTAAATTGTTCTTCCGTTTCTTTGCATTATCTCTCTCACTGTCACGCTCTTGGCGCATTCCCCGTAAGCGTAATTCCATTATGTTCGATTGGTTGACATTCAAATTCGGATATCCTCATGATCTCGCGTAACTGTGGAAAATTCCTGTACAGAGTGGATGGCTCTTTTCAAATTATGTTCATGATATGGGCAATGCACGCCACGAAAGAAAACGCAAATGTGCTAGTCTTACTCATAATCCTCCCAGACAAGATTCGACCCGGGCTTCTAGCAGCAGCAAGATTTGCAGTTATTGTTTTTCCTCTATGACCTTCACGCCTGATTGCTGCAACTTTTTCGCTTACGTAAGTTTATGATGACGTAGTTTTCAGTGGCGCAAAAGTCAGGTTTGATCAAAGAGTAGCATGGCTGATCGTTGCGTACCTTCGAAGGTAACAATCTTATGCACACGACATACAAAAATACATAGTTGTTCTGAGCGGTATTTCTTATTAATTATTCAGCTTATGATGCATTAGAGGAATTTCGCTGTGCCTCTTTGCATGTATTCTGTCGAGCAGTGTGCAACATGCAACAGCGTGAGAGTCACGGCACCGTGGGAGCGATACAGCCCGAGCTGTACGACCAGGAGGGCCTCAATTCAGGGGAGTCCAGACGGGACTCCACCGAACTGGCGGCGCAGGCGATGACTTGCGGCAAGCTGCACTTCACACTCAAATACGACATCGACTTGGAAGGACTCGTCGTCAAAGTGAGTTCGTCTTTTCACACGTCCTAATTCCTGCTTTGATCACAAAGCGTCAATGAAAAAAAAAAAAAAAACTCGCAGAGGCTTTGATGCACTGGTCTAAGACAAATCGAAGGTGGATGCCATCCTCCTCGTTTTTCTCTCGGTGAATGTATTAATTACTTGAACACCCCTCCGCAAGCTTTCTCCGCCTAACGTGCATTGGAATTGCCCTCGAGGGCGGAGTCACGGCAAGCTTTCTTCGCTTAACGTAGATTGGCATTGCCTTCAAGATCATAGCCGATTTTCCGTGCTTAAAGTGGATTGGCGTTGCCTTCAATACCGGAGTCATTGCAAACTTTCTGTGCTTAACGTGGATTGGCATTGCCTTCAGGATCGAAGTCAATGCAAGCTTTCTTCACAGAACGTGGATTGGCGTTGCCTCCAAAATTAGAGTCACTGTAAGTTTCCTGCCCCTCGTCTGGTTTTGTACTACCTCCGTGACCAGCCCACCCTCGACTAAGGAATGATCTCATGGGTGGTGGTGTCACGCTAAAGTAACGTAATGAGGATGTCCCAAATTTTGTAACTTGTGGCATCATGATGGCGTCACTATGTCACGTCGTCACGGCATTATAGTTTCTTTTTCATCACTCGCGTTGGCGCCGGCACAATAGAACGCCGACAGTCACACTTGGTGTACTGAAAGATTTCGCCCTAATAAAAAAATGGATGTAGATTTGGGGCCTGCATGCAGTTTTGTAGTGAAAGCAGGTCTTCTAGGTGTGAGGAAGACATGTTCACCGGCGAAGAGCGAGGCAGTGCATGGAAGGACTGATAAGATGTGCACTGCGATAAAGAAATAAAACGTGCTAAAATGGGTGCATGGAATTAATCTAACACGCAACGTGGCGTGCTGTATGCACTCCGGGTCGAAGTGATGGAGCCTGCCCTTGTACCAAGGGCATTGTGACGTTGTGGTGGAGACAAGGGACCACGCCTTTTGACCTTGACGCTGTAGGTTGTGATCCAATCTGTAAGGCATGGCGGAAACAGTTTGGAAATAAAAGAAACGACCAGAAATCGACGAAAAAATGTTTTACTGCACTGCGCTGAATAAAACACAGGACTCAGTTCTCGTTATTATTATTAGTGCGTAAAACGTGTTAGGGCGTAAAACGTTGGACGAGAGTGAAGGATAGTGTAGCGTTCCATCCAGGACTCTTGTAATTCTGTGTTTCCGTATAGTTTCAAACGCGCCAGAGACCAACAAAACAGAATGCATTTAGACTGCATATGAATTCCCAAAGAAGACATGAGATGATAAGGATGAGATTCGGACCGTTTCTTTAGGTAAATACTTCAGTTTCACTTGTATCAAAGCAAAAGACGCAGCTTCACAAAAGAAGTAGCCACGATATTTTACTCTTCGTATTGAAGCAGTGGTGTTCAGCGGTGTTTTGTTTTTATTCAGATATAATAACAGAGAAACTAAGCAGAGTCTAAACCTGCAGTCTCAACATAGGTAATGGGATACGAAGTTTTTACACACAAACAAATAAACTAACAAACAAAATGAGTAATCAAAAGTGCTGTGTGATTATGCGATCACCAGCGTACAAACAACTTGCATCTTCACTATTTGCTAAAGTGTTGGCTAAACACTATATGAAGCGAGTGTTACGATGTTAAAGCTGCGGCATTCTATATATACTGCAAGAGACTCGGCGTGGAATGCCCTTGCAAATCGGATCACGCATGAAGCGAAGTAGCTGGGCACATGCGGCAGCCTTACACCTGCCTCGCTGAAGCTCTCATTCGATTAATGCTTCCGAGTGTTAGCATTAAAATCCTGGTGGATTTGCCTCGTGCGGACTTTCCAATTGAATGCACCAAAATCATTAAATGGGTGCCAGGACACGAGGACTTCACCGGGAACCAGTTTGCGGATGAGGCGGCTCGAGGCTTCACAAATCACCGAGCTTCTTTGCACACTGCAATAGAGGATACAACACCCCTAGCCCTAACTTTGGTACAATTCTTCCGTATTACAGGGACAATAGAAAACTGTATCTAGCACCGCATAAGAACCTCACAGCAATGGAATCGGTTACATTACGCAGAATACGAACAAACACATACACAAACTTATACAGGCTACATATGTATTCTACCCCACAGCATATAGAGATATAATATGCCCGTGGTGCGGGGCCACTAACTCTGTTTCACATCACGTGGGAGTGTACACATCACAATAACGAAGACCACAACATGAACAACACACAGGAACAATGGGAGCCACTTCTGTCCAGTTCATCTATTGCTGATCAGCGTTGGCTGGTCCAATGAGTAGAGATGATAGCTAGGGCCAGCGGAGCCCTGGAATAGGGGCCCAATTATTTGTAATGCTCCGCATTATGCGCAAATAAAGTTTTTCTCTGTCTCTCTTTTGCCTCGTGTAAAACTACTCGTCCAGTTTCGGAAAACAAGCTTCTGTAGCTGGCCGGGCACTACGCAAGACGTATGAATATCCACCGAGTCTCCTCTCACAATGCAATGAATACATATTTCAGCTGGAGTTCGAGCTGACCAGGCATTTGTCTTAGTGCCTGTCTAAGTCTTCGACGTACGGCTTAGTTGGTCCAGTCAGGCGATGCTGGATGTTGTCTGGAGGATTAAACCTTGAGCCAAACAACTTAAAGGAACGAAGTGGAAACTTTAGGGGTAGTTTTTAGTTAAACGCAATATTTACCAGAATGAAAAAAATGTCAATGCCGAGTAATGCAGAAGGGAGCTAAAGCAATGAAAAGTGCAAAAAAAAAACATAGCCTGCCGTGGAGAGAGGGACCGAATATGCGACCTTGAAAAGTCGTAGGCTGGTTCCCTGCTGTTGACTTTTCTTCTTGCTGGCAATGGCGCAGAACTTCCACTACCTTCATTTAGACCTGAACAAGATGATCTTTTTTTATTTTACCAAAAAGCCTTTCAAAGTACTCTAAAGTCTGGCACGCTGTTTATTTGTTTGTTCTCTTGTTTTGACAAGATCATTAACAGTACGTGCGAGACGCTAACTGCCGGTCAGTTTTTCGTGTTGCTTAGCACTGCGTCTGGGCTCAAGTCGTCCGAAACTCAATCAGCTTGCAATGAAATCAACGCCGTCAGAGTAAGCAATAAAACTATAGTGTGATGGCTCTCAGGCACATATACTTCTTGCCTGTTTTACAGGTCCAAACGAGCACGAGTATTTTTTAAGCCGTTCTGAGTATGTGTGCCTTTTTTTCAACAACCAGGAGTTAATTGCAAAATAGCTGCAAGGCGTAGTAAATTTTCAAGGTTCGCTGACTTTCAAACACTCTATTGCTTGCTTCTGAGAAATCGTAATTAATTGAGACGGTCGCGGAGCCAATGCACTTTGATTGGACGTCCACCTCTGGTAAACTAGCCCCAATTAAGGGTGCCGCGGCGAGAGGAAGAACCTTTCTCTTGTTTGCAATTAAGTAATTGGTCGTGCCTTGTAGTTAACGCGACCGCGTTGAACAGCGCGTTGTAAGAAACGACAAAACAAGTTTCTGACGCAGCCAGCTTAACCGTGTCGGGAAAGATCAAAAGCTTAATTCGGCAGTTGTTTGCGTCGGCACTCCGTAATTTTCGCACGACAAAAGCGTTCCGCCGTCATTTCTGTTTAAAAGACAAAATCAAAGCAAAGAAATATGAAATAAACAATTAGTGGATTGCAATAGCTTTTAGGAGCTTTGAACTCAATTAAAGCTAGACACAAATTTGCCCACAGTCAACAAAGACACCTCTTATTTGTCTCTTCACCTCAATGTCCACTCTTCAACTTGACCTAATAGTGCATTACGCTGGCAAAACCAATCAGAACATCTGAACTTTGAGAAAATTAGGTGGGCAGATGGTGAGAGATAGAAAGTTATGCGGGCAGATGAGATTAGGAAGTTAGCAGGTATAACGTGGCTACAGAAACCGCAGGACTGGGTTGATTAGTGAAACATTGGAGAGGGCTTCGCCCTGCAGTGGGCGAAGTTAGTCTGATGATGATGATAATAAAGACGATGACTGCTAAGACATAACAGAGTCATTTCAGATTTTTCTCTTTTTAATTTTTTTTTCCGCGTACGTGAAATCCCCAAATATGACTCCTTGTTTTAAAAACATGCTAAATCTATTACGCTCACACATTTCTTTGTTTAAAGGCAGTGATATAGCTGGGTTTTGATAATGTATAAATATATATTTCAAAAAATAAGAAAATCATCGCGATAAAGAATATATTCCGCAAGTTTCTGCTTGCCCAAGTAATGGCCCAAGTAGTAATTAGCCCAAGTAATGGCCCAAGTAGTAATTAGCCCATGTAATGGCGACTGGTCAATATACTGCGAACAGTGTGTTGAGGCGCAGTTCACCTGCGCTGTGACGCGTAAAATGCGTACTTTGCTCTATTTACATAAAGACGCATAATAGGCAAGACAGAGCACGTGAGACTGGGACCTCCTCTCCACTAGAAGCTAACAGGTGACGTGATTAGTAGGGCATGGTAAAAGCACAGAAAAGCGCACTTTCGAGCTATTTAAAGGGTTTACCGAAAGACGACAGCCGAAGTCGAGAGTTGAACCCATGTTCTCGAGCGTCGCAGTGCGATATCTTAGCCACAGAGTTAACACAACGCGTGGACAGATTTTAATGCCATTAACATTCATTGAGAAATTTAGCCAATTCGCAATGTCTCTGCGCATCTTATTCTAACCATTTCAACATCGACCGCAAATATATAAGTATACGCAAACACATGCGTTCTGCAACCAATCGTCGTTTCTCAATTTCGCAAAGACAGAAAAGTCTCACGAGGGCAATTTTTTTTATATAATCGTGTACACTCCCCGAAAACGAAGTGAACGAAGTCAATTACATCAGTTGTCATGCATAGAACCACAGAAATGGGCAGCTCTGGGCCTTTTCGCTTTTGTTAAAAATTGGGTACCACCCGTGTCGTCATCAGCAAT